TAAAATAATAATTCTAAATTGTTTTTAATGTTTGTTACAAGACTAAATATTTTATAATATATATTTAATTTAACCATAGAATTAATACCATTGCCCAAATGGACCCCATTTGGAGTTTTTTTTTCCAACTTTTTTATGCACAAAATTGCTTGTTAGTCCATGACTGTTGGTTACAGAGTCCTTTTAACCCTATTGACATGCATCATAGGTCAAAGGACCATGTCATCGCGTTTATTGACTCGCATTCAAAATTTTATTGAACTACTATTTTATGAATGTATGTCAATAAATTTGGTATCAAATTATAGATTATAATTCAAATTTTAGTATTATACATTAGTAAATTTCTTAATTTAAAAGTAAATATTAAGAAAGAAATCCTAAACATCAGTTTTTGTGTGTCATGTGGTATGTTGAATGCTGCATTGGTTCAAATTAGATGTTTGTGATGTCCAAATACAAAGTCTGTAGTTTCTTATGAATTAGATAATCAGATTATCAATATTGACAAGCTAGAATGTAATATAAGAATCTCCTATCTTTTTTATTTTCTGACATATTAATATATTTATTGAATCAACCAAGGTGGCTCTACGCACCTCTTCAGTTTTTGAAAATACCTGCTTATGTACACCTACTTCATTCAATGATGCATGAATAAACAATCGAAAGCTCAGAATGTTCCCCTAGTGGCTTTCTCAGCCTTTTTGAAGTACTTAGGCAGCAAACTTATTCTTTTCATGATAGATTCCAAGTGGTAAGACATGACATATGAGAGTCTGAAATTTCATAGTTTTTTAGACCCAAATACACCTTAGTTACTAAGCTTGATAAATTATAGTGGAATTCTATAGCAATGACATGCTAAATCATGATTTTTGGTTATTTCAAAAGGTATATTTAAATCTAAAAAAAATATTTCGTTTCACATCCGTCACATGCGGAATTTGATAAGGCTTAGCAACCTACAACAAGCAGCAAACGAGTACAAAGTTTGTAATTAGAAGAGATAATTGTTTTCTGTACTTCTTTATTTACTGTTATATGTTTTAAGAAAAATAACTGAAATTTAAGAACTTGTTTGTAAATAGTAATAATGTATATAATATATTATAATTGAAATGTGACTATTTTACAAAATACTGGTCCACCAGCACACAGCTAATACAGGTCACTTTGTAAAGGCCAATTTTATATTCTTGGAGATGATAACATGAGTGCATGTGTGCTGCATCATTGCAATTTCTGTATTGTTAGCCAGTATATATAAAACCTAAAAAAAATATTTTGTTTCATGTCCTCCACGTGTAAAATGTTTAAAGGCTTAGCAACTTCTGTCAAGCAGTAACCGAGTAAAAAGGTTGTAACTAAAAGAGATAATTGTTTGCTTTACTTCTTTAGTTGCATAATAAACAAGATTACTACACTTATGATATACAACATTGTTTATTGACAAAAAGGAGACATAGATAAATGTTTTGGAATTCTATCAGATTCCATCTTCAGTATCTAAAGCAAAATAAAATAAATTTACATAAGTCTTTGGACATTGTCAAAGTACATTTGCTAAATATAATGATAATTAAACAAGTAAAACACAAAACAGTAATCATTGGGAGAAACTACAGCAAGAAAACACAACAAAAAAAAGGTAAAACCAGTAATACGAACATATTAAAAAATGTATAATTTAAATGAAGACTGCAAGTAGTTTAGTGTTGGAGAGTGTTGTTTGATG